CCCAAACCATTCTATGATTCTATAAAGAGGTCAAGTGCAAAATTAACAAAACTGGCAAATTATTCATGAACATGTTGCAGAACACAAAACACTTGTGGAAAAGTATCTGTGTCAAAATATGTAAGTGATGATGTAGCATTTACTGTGCTACTGCGTTAAACAGGAGCTCATACTAGAGGTAGTTCAGGTGACCCCTGTCAACTTATGTGTTGGTAGATGGAGTAGCCTTTTGCCCAACACATTGTGGAATACTTCCTGTAAGTTTTGGAGTAGAAAATACTGATTTGCTGGAGTCAAAATTTTGTAAAAATATATTGATTTTTGTCAAAACTTCATATTAAAATTGAATGGATTTGGCTTGGAAAAGGTCAAAGCATTTTCCTTTGACTATGTCATCTTGATTTTCATAAGTGGTGACAGAATGTTGCATCATATAAATGGTAGTGCCCTGTGAAATTTAAAACAGTGAAGTTCAAATAATTCCCCTTGATCTTATTGAGATAAAGTTATCGACAGGCAAAGCTTTTGAGGGAGAGTGTTCCTGTCTTGGTAAATCTCATCTCTTTGCTCTGAGTCAGGATGAAAGAAGTTTGGTTTTGTGGTGTGTGGGGTTTTTTTTTTCCAAATGTCAGTTTGCTGGGATTGAAATGGTGAGTTTTAACACACAGTGATGTGAAATTGTTTGTGGCAATAGATATCTGGAGGTGTACCACTTACACCGGGCTATTTACGTTGTTATTATCTAGTCTTGTCAGAAGTCTATCGTAGTATGAGCTACAAAGGTCATCCTTGTAGACTACTTACTGATTTTATTTACACTGTGATGTGAAGTCAGGCATGTTAATCTATAATACAGTCTGGAACAACAGAGAACAAGCTCAGTGAGTCTAAACTAGGTTATGGAAACAGGCCACTTTATCTTTAGAAATCCTGGATAGCAAGTTATGTGGACATGGTCTGAATGAAGGAGTGTTCAATCTATTTTTAATGGAATTTTGATTCCTCGTTAAAAATGTCCCAAGAGCTGAGTACTTTCTTACTTAGCTTTCACAGTTGATCCTTCCTAAACAACTTTTATCTATGAAATGTAGCTCCTGGTTTTAATGTTGAATTTGTATTGTTTCATCAGCAGACAATGTGCTCAGGTCAAACACACTTTGAGCTCCTATCTTCCTGCTTTGGTTCTCTTGTCCAGCTCCTCAGGAACTTAATATGCAGGGCTATACTGTAGGTAGTCATTCTATTAGTATGATGTGACTAGGCTTCCATGAAGTGCTGTAAAACTGATACAGTTCTTGTCAGAGAAAATTGCTTTAATATAAGGATAAACGTGAAGGGAAAGGATTTACGATCTGAATAATTTACTGTTTAAGTAAGGCTTGAAGAATTTCTTAAGCTAATTCAAGTCCTTTAAAAGGTAAAAAACTCTTTTATTATAAAAGTCCTGAAAAGTCTCACCTAAACTATGATGCACTGAACTGTACTGTTTAGGGAAATCACTGTCCCAGGCAGTCCACAGGACAGGTGGACAGGCAGACAAAGGATGAGGGTGGAGATACAGAATGGTGTGCCGCTAAATAATATTTAACCCGAGTGTAATGGCAGTAGACTGGAATCCAATTCCCACTCTCAACCAACCCCTTATTCTGGGGGGTAATACAGAGTCTGACATCAATGAGAACATTTCTGATTAAGTTTGAAGGTCTGTGGACAGGCCTCTCACCACAAAACAGACCCCCAACACATTGTTCTCTTTTTTGGTTTATTTGAAGTGAGCACCATAGTGTAGGTAGGCACCTTGTGCAGACCTGCTAGGTCTCGCCTATTGAGGATGCGCTTGTACGCCAGAAGGCAAAGGATTTTGCCACTTCTGCTTCTCTGTGTAATCCAAGAAATCTGCATGGCAAGAGAAGCTTTTGCATCTCATCACTTTGACGCCGTCAGTGGTATTTTAAATAAATTGTTTTAACCAAGATGGCTATTTCAGAGCATCCTGCTGTCGGACGCCATCTGTTTGGTAAGCGTCATCATTTGTGACTTCTGCAGTGTGGGAACCAAATGTCAGAGATTGTCAAAGCGTTTTCCATCATGCTCTAATTCTGGCTGAACAGAAATCCTGTTTGTTCACTTTGCTCAAATAGTATACAGTAGACTTCCTAGGCTATTTAGTCAAGCCAGGATTACAGTCAAGTGAAAACTGTAGTCTTTCTACAACCACGTTTCCTCAGAACTAAAATTTTTATGGAATTAAGGTACACATTTGGCCAAATGAGGCTGTCAAAGAAAAATCAGTATGTTACTCTGTTAATCACTACTAATTGTCAGTGTGCTAGGTAGATTTTTTTTTTTTTGAGTGTTCTCAGTTGAATGTATCATTCTTTCATGTATAAAATTAAAGTCTGGACTCTCCTGGCCAATTAATGTTTTGTTGGTTTTCATAAACAGACAGTGTTGATCCAGCCATTTTAAAGAAAGCATTTTTCCTTATTTAAACTATCCTTATCATCCTAAAGCTATAGTCAGTATGTTATTTTAAACTTCTGGTCCCAGTTCTCAAATTTTTGGGCTTCTTCAGTTGAAGGTTCAGTAGTCATGTTTTTGTTTCACCTCTCTCTAAAATTCTGCATATATCTTGTTCTTATGGAATCTAGAATCCCAGTGAAACTAGGCAGCATGTGGGAAGAACATGGGCAAAGTTGCACTGAAGTGGTTGGTAACACATCCTTCGCTGTATCCTCAGCATCCTTTACGCAGGGGTGGTCAGCCACTGTAATACTCTTATGGCTTTGTGTTGTAGAAAACTAAAATATTGTGTGGTTGTTGATTTTGGTGGTGTGGGTTTTTTTTTCTTTTTCTAAATGTGAAAAATCAGACCTTTTTTTCTCTATACTCATATGGCTGAATTTCACAAACCAGATTAACAATCATCTTTTCTCAGGAAAATGCTGTGAATGGAGAGCATCTGTGGCTGGAGACAAATGTTTCTGGGGTTTTTTTTCTTTTTCTAAATGTGTGGTGGAAAATCAGATGTTTTTTTTCCTCTATACTCATATGGCTGAATTTCACAAACCAGATTAACAATCATCTTTTCTCAGGAAAATGCTGTGAATGGAGAGCATCTGTGGCTGGAGACAAATGTTTCTGGGGATCTCTGCTACCTGGGGGAGGAAAGCTGCCAAGTCAAATTCTCAGTGAGTTATTTTCACATTTCTTTCTTACTTTCTGAGGTAACAAACCTGACTTCAGACTGATACACTGCTCACACACTTGGGGGCTTGAATTGTTTGCTCTTTTTGACACTTGTGTTCCAGAGGGAATGCAAAAAGGGCAAAAGGCTGCTCATTAAGTACTTTGTTGTTTGGGAAAAAAGCCTCAAACGTTTTTTGAGTGACCCAGATTATTTACGGTGAGAATGGATGTAATGAGTAACTTTAACCTGGTAAGGGGGAAAAAAAGTTAGAATATTGAGATATTTCAAAAATATTTCACTTGCTGGGGTCTCTGGGAGTAGGGTCTGATCACATTTTTATGAATTTAATCACTGCAAGGATTTGAACTGGATTTTCAAAACTCTTGAATGCACTCACCAGCAGTGAGTGCACTCATATTTGAGTGTCTGCCTTCTATTCAAGGATAACCGACTATTTGCCTTCTATTGAAGCTTTTCTGCTGCGTGTGTCCTGGTTTTAGTTGGGACAGAGTTAATTTTTTTCACAGTAGCTAATATGAGGCTGTTTAGATTGTTTTCATTGGATTAATGTTTAACAACTTAAAAAACAAGATATTAAAAAAATAGCCGCTCATATGGTGTTACCTGTGCTTTTTGTAGTTTTTCATCTTAGAGGTTGATTCCTTTTGTCTCAATCTTCTTGCTAAACATAGACTGAAAACATACCTAATGTCAACAGGATGCAAAACACATGAAAGCTTAGTCTATTATACACTATCATAATTCTTTAGGTGAAGTGTTAGAACAACAGTCCACATACATGTGAACATGTACAGTAAGAGTGTATCTAGATAATTGCGACTCAGTAAAATTATAATTGTATAATGTGAGCTGAAGCTATGATCCTTGTTTCTTCTTGAGTTTCTTTGACATTGAAAATTCTAAAGAAATAATTTATTAGGGATTTAAATGAACAAGAATAACATGAATATAAAAATCTGAAGTAAATAAATCTCAATTTACTCTATGTTTATAAATTTTCTGTCCCTCAAGCATAAGGCTACAAGTTAAACTTCTATGAAAATTAATTCCATCTGATTTATTAAATTGAGTATATGCAAGAAAAATAAAGTAAATATATTCTCTCTCTCCTGGATGCATTATCTTCCTTTGATATGCTTTGGCTCAGGGGATTCAATGGAAAGTATTTTAGAAGCCCTACTGAAATTAATAAAACTAACCAGCATAATTAGGTTGAGAATTTTGTCCCTGCTGTAACATTTCATAAGCATTTAACAACATTCTGTGAGAAGCTTCTTATTCTCTGCTGCATGACCCAAGTTTCTGCAGGGCAATGGTCAAGCCCATCAAATTAAATATTATAGGATAAGCATGAAATGACACACTCTTCCAAACTGGTTTGAGTTCTGATTTGCATGTATGGTTTTTCTTCTCTTTTCCCTGGCGCTGCACATCACAGTAGTGTGCTCCCTTTTAGAGTGATGATCTGCAGTTAGCAGCCTTACCTGCTTCCTAAAGGGAGCCTTTTGGATGACAAGCTTGGGGCACTGTGGCTTTGTCTTTTTCACAAAGTCCAATTCTGAATCAGAAGAGCTTCAGACCTTTTTTTTCAATATACAGAACAGTTGAGAGCACCAGGAGAGGAATGAATATACGTTGCATAAGGAGTGAAACATCTCCTTGTTTCACAGCTAACTTTTCTCCTCCCGGGAATAGCGCGCCTCCATGCACATACATCTTTTTCCCCTCGCAGAAATCTGCTCTGCGGAGGAAGTGTGCTGCCTGCAAGATTGTGGTCCACAACGCGTGCATGGAGCAGTTAGAGAAGGTAAGACATTGCCATCTTGTGGAGCCTAACACAGACAACACTCAATGATTTTACAGTATGTGTTTCCGTCTCGAAAACACCATATGCCAAATTAGGTTTTCATAGCTGTTTTGACAATATATTTGTTAAAAAGTTGACTTAAAATTCCAGCTTATTTTAAAAATAGATTCCTTCAAATCCTGTGCACCATTAAAAAAAAAAATAACAAAACCCACAATGCTTTCACGATTTTAATGATTAAAAATTATTTCCCTCCAGTTGTAAATTGAGAACTGAAACTAGAAAATGCAGTATCCTGCCATCCACAAGTTCAGTGTTTCCATTCCTCAACTAAACCCAGCATAATTCACCTTATGACAGCTGTATATATTACAAGCAATTCAGTGTGAGGTGCTACTATGAACATTTTTCACTGTGTTTGCTAGACTACGCTGTCCTTAAAACCTCAGAAATTAACTTCATGTTTTTAAAATGGAAACTGTCAAACCTTTACCTTCTACTACCATTATTTCTGTGATCACCTGTCCTACTTCTCGGTTCCTTCAAGGAGCCTATGTCACCCCCAAGTGCCTATGGAATGTCTATCACTGAATTCTCTTTCCATCAGGGTTTTTATTCATTATGCTTAACTGGTAACGCGTTAGAAAAACAGCAGGGGGAAATTTCATTTTCTTGGTGGGATGTGTGTAAAGAAGTATGAGTGGGGATTTCCCCATTGACTTCATTAGAGCTGCATGTTTTGCAACGTTGTCTCCATCAAAGAAGTTGATGCATAACAAATTTATAGCAGCAACCCTTTGGAAAGAGCTTTTCCTTTCCAAGTATTTGGACTTGTGTTGACAAATGTCACAGTGATTGCCATAATACCAAGTTGGAGACATACCATTTCCACCCCCGATGCTTTTACCCACAGTGAAATCAGCATTAGCACGTACTTTCAGCCCAAAATGTTACCAGTGAATTTTTCACAATTTCCTTCATCGTGAGCAGTGCCGACTCCCCACAGCCCTGTGAGCTGGTGGCATTGCCAACCGGAGCAAATAAGCATTTAGATAAAACCCATTCTGTTGAGCTTGTTTATGCCATTCTGAAGATGGTGAAATTCACCTCTTGGTAGAGGGTTGTTATAAAGTCTGCATCCTTCTTAAACCCTGTGTAGTTTAAAACTGGTACATAAGTAGTCATCGTGGCCCTCTCTGCAAAGGTGTAAGTAAATAATCTGGGGGTCTTTCCAACAGCCACAACAAAGCCGTGAAACAATGAACTGCAATTCCAGGTGAAGAGCAAGGTAGGAAGACTTAATAATGCGATGGCTTTCATTTATTCCTCAGTAATTATTTACTTTTTTGTTGTGTTTCCTTTCCCCTTGAGCTATTATTTTGAAGGCCACTATTAAATAAATTAAATAATTAAATTATTATTAATTATTAAATACAGGAGAAGTTATACAGGAATGGCTGTAGTTAAATTTGGTGAAACTTGATTGTTCTACCTTTACAACAAAACCATAGCTGTGCAGTATTAAGTTTTATTCTTTGAAGGTTAATCAACTTAAGCTTGAATCTATTTCATTTAGGGCATCTTTGCCTCACATATCCTTGACCTTTTCCCATGCCTCTCTCTTCAGTTTATTATTTCTCTCTACATTCCCACTGCTCTGATGTCTGTTGACTTTCTTTTCTCAAAAAATTTTTTTTCATTTCTTATAGGACTCCTTTGTTTGTTAAATGTTTTTTCTCTTCACCTTCCTAAATGTTTTCTGTTCATGGAAGCTCCTGTTGTCCTCTTTCTGTCTTTCCTCTCTCATCTGAAGGAGACAACACCATGGCATGAGGCAGTACAATGCTTCCCAAAAGCTTTGTGGTTGGGGAGGTGAATAATTTGCCTGATCTAAGCAAAAAGTAAAAATATAGGGTCATCTGCACAGTTATTCAGGTGAATGAAGATTTCTCCACAGATTTTGCTTTTGAAGATATAAAGCTGGGATGTGCAAAATTGTCTTACAAAATCAGATTTCCAGCTCCTATTAACTTTTTAGGCCTCCACTTAAGCCCACTTTGGTTGCAAATGATCTTCAGAAAAAAAACAGATGAAGTGGTTTTATTCTAGGCATCGGGGAGACAGTTTAAATAGTTGAACTGTGGCAGGGAGCAATAACATTAGTGAAGATACAGGCTGTATAGAGATCTAGCAAGGAGAATTATTATGGCATATGAAAGAGATTTTTCTGGCATCCAGGTAAGTTACTTTATTCAGCTAGTGAAGCTAATAATTTAATAGATGACAAATATTTTGGAAATCTGGCCTAGATCAGCATATTGGAATAAATTTTCCCCCAGATCACTTTCGGTTCTAACAGCTTTATTTTAATGCCAGATTAATTTTCACTGCAAACCGACTTTCCGAGAAGGAAGCTCCAGATCTCCAAGAGAAGTAAGTAATGGAAAAATGATGATTGCTTTTTATTTGATTTGTGTGCTGATTCCCCCCTGGTTTGGAGTTGCAGCAGTGCTTTTAGATTCAGAGGAGTCTTGGACAGAGTATTGGTTCCCAGTGGGATATGTTCTCCTCTACAGAATAAATGTAAAATGAATTCTAGCTGGAGCACTTCATTTCTTATACTGGCAGAAACCGTTTCATCTTTCTGTTGTGTCTTTTCACATTCATTCAACTATTCAGACTTTTTTCTTCTTGGTAGCATTTTTTTTTTCTACCTGACTTTTGAACTAGTTTTTTCCAAGTTTTCTGTATCCCTCTCCTTACACTTACCTCTCCCTTCATTATTTTTTTTTCCCTAGAATTCTCTCAAGTGTCCTAAGATGCTTTCTGTAAAAATAAATAAATATCAAACATTTGAAAACCTTATTATTTGCCTCCAGCTACTGTATGAATTCAGCTCATTTGAAGGTGCTGGGTATTCATTGCTATTACTGTTGTGTTTATATGTCTACCTTATGTAGTTAAAGGCAGTGTTTCAAAAACACCTCTGAACTTTTATAGTTGATTTGGTGGCCAGCTTGCTCTTACCAGAGGGAGCTCAATTCTGTCGATGGTTCAGTGTTGGCTGGCACGAGTGCAGTGCAGGCAGACCCCTTCTAGCCCCCTTGCATGCACATAAGCAGGGGCAGAAGTCCTGCTCACCCTCTTGTCTCTCACTGCCATCCAGGTGTAAGTACTCCAATGAGAAAAGATTGCTTCAATGACAGCTCCTTCCTTCCCTCCTTCCCTTCTCCTGCATTGACATGTTTTGCATTATAAGGCTGTATTTCCAAGCAGAATAGAGTGGGGGCCTGACACTGTGGCTGGATGCAGCAGTGTTTGAGCACTTCTGTGCTTTGTGTTCAGGTGATGATTGTCTCCGCATCATTTAATGAACTGTCTTCTTTTTGTAGAAGTGTACAGAGAGAGCAGTTCCAGACACATTTCAACATGCATAAAGAATATCACCTCATCCTTATTCCTCCTGCAGTTTGGGTTGTGTCTGAGGTTTCCTACGGGGACTGCTGTGTTTTGCTTCAGAAACGATTGCATTGGCTGAAGGGACCTTTCCTTGGGTATCCATAAACCAATTTCACACAGATGGTACTTTTGAGTGCAAGCTGCTATTGTTTTCTATGACACATATTTCGTCATCCTTTTGCAGAACTTTGTCCGACACCACTGGGTGCACAGGCGCAGGCAGGAGGGGAAATGTAAGCAGTGTGGAAAGGTAAGACTTCCAGTGCAGCACAACCACAATACTGGTCATTTCTGAATTCAGAGTACCCAGTGGGTCCTTCTAGTCACTGAAACCTCTAAACACTTGGTCTTGCTTAAGCAGAAGATTGCAAGCCTGATATGTTGAGTGGTAGCAGCCCCGATGCATATGTGGGAAGAGGAAAGGCAGCTGTGTCTGCAGGAGTCAGCACATGTGTCCTGGGATGTTGTGATGCACTGGCTGCTCTAAAATGAGAAGGAAGGCTGTGGCTCCTTGAGCTGCTTTCTTCATTAAGCCTGATTCTTTCTTAGAGGTGTTAGGAGTTTATTTTGCTATGGGAGTACTTACTGCCTATCATATCAAAACTTGTGCTGGGAACAATCATGTGTACAATGTAACCAGTCTGTCCTAAAACGTATATCATCCCTGACTGATATGGAGAATTTCAGAGGAAATCACACTTTTCCCCTCAAATAAGAAATATTCAGTGAAGATGAACATGGTTATGTTGTAGTGGAGATCCTTTTTCTAAAGAAAAGGAAAGGATTAGAGAAAACATTAACAAGAAAAAAATTAATTGTTTATCGGCCAGGTAGTCTCCTATTACAGCAAACTACCTGCGTATCTTGTGGTCTGCTATTACAATTCTTTTGTCTCCAAGTAAGAACCATCTTTTACATTCTCTTGTCATGCAAGAAAAATGGAACTGTCACTGAGATGGAATGGCAGTAAATTTAAAGCAATAAAGGAAAGTGTTATTCATGGGATACCTAATGACTCTGCTACATCTTGTCCTATATTAGTCCTGTCCCATGTCTGGAGTTGGATGGTTAAATATATTAATGATCACTGATAACAGTTTGAGTAAAGAAAGTAGAAATGAACGTTTAGGATATACCTGTCTCATGCTTCAAGTCCTAATCCATTGGAAAGGAATTAATGCTCCCCAGCATCCTTACTCTGGCTTTGTTTTCTGTGCCATGGCTGATACTTCCTGAAAGCTGGAGAACAGAGGTGTCTGTCAGTGTTTCACCTTTGTTAAGAAGTACAGTTTCAAAGGAATTTTCTGGATTATCATCACTTACCACAATTCACACATGGGACAGTCTTGCAGCAAATGAACCAAATTCCTTTTCGATTAAACTTAATTGAAAGTTAACTCTACAACTACTAATGGGCATCCAGTCCACAGGTCCAGACTACAGCTAGTCAAAAATAAAATTCTCTGAAAATACTTGTGTATAGTGTCCAGAGTACCAACAGAGCCTGTGCTCCCAGCATTACATGTCACCCACTAGCGTAGATGCAGCTTATGCGGGGTCATCTGGGCTTCCTTTTTCCATCCCTCCCAGGCATGATTTCACTGCTATACTGCAGAAATTGGTGCCAGGGAAGGGGGCCTGGAAAGTCATCTTCAAAGTCATCTTCAAAATCTTAGAGTGCACCAGAGCCAAATCTATTTCTGTCTAGATCTATTTCTGTCTACTTGCTGTGACGATTCCCTCCCATCCCGCCACTGCCCACTCCCCCTCCCTTTTTTTTTTTTAACTGAATAGAAGGATGGCCAGACAAAGTACCATCCAGCCTAGTATTCAATAGTAGCTTATTATGGAAAAGTATAAGATGGAGCAGGTGTTCAGTGATGCATCCCCAAAACAGTCTCCTGGCCTCCAAGAATTTCTGTCTCATGCATTTCCTGGAATGGTGCCTTTATATTTAACAGCCTACGATAACTTTCTCTCCTGTGGTCTTGTAGAGTCTCCCCTTGAGTTCCTGCAAAGCTGTAGTGTTTACAATGTACTTTAGCACGGAATTCGTCAACTTAACTACATGCTATGAGAAGAAACACATTTTGATTGTTTCAAAACTGTTGCTAGTTTTTTCTAATGCTCCATAGCTCTTGTTCTGAAAGTGATGGTAAATACTCCCAAACTATGTTCTCTACACCATTCATGGTGTTTAAGAGCTCATTTCTCTCTTGCAGGCAGGGAAAAAAGAGGTTTGTAGCTTTTGGCTGTTATGAGCTGTTTGTTACCTGGAATCATCAGAGAAATTGGGATTTTTTTTTTTTTTTTTTTTATTTTACATAATACAGTATAGGAATGTTCAGACCATGTGGCCTGGCATTCAGTCTGTGACTCTGCAGTAATAGAAGCTTAAGGATGAACACAGGGTGATCCTTTCTTCATATTCTTCCAGTTAGCAGTGGCTTAGGGATTTGTCTGAGACTAAGAATGCTTCTGGACCATCATGCTGAGCAGGCACTTTATTTCTTTTTAGTTTCTGTGGTGTCCAAAGTAGCGTGTCCAAATGCTACTGATCCCTTTAAAGGCATGTGGATTGATGCAGAGCTATATGTTTTCCCTGCATATAATGGTAGGATTAAAATTTCTAGTAGTTGAAAGGCAATTCTAGTTCTTTGTTTTAGAGATCACAATCCAAGTGCTTCTGTTGCTGTCTGTATTTGAGTTGTAAAAATATCTGGCTCTCCTACAATAAACTTACCTCCAAATATCTGAAAGCATTGTTAAGGCAATAAATATCACAGGAAAATATATGCAAAAATAATTAGTAGCCTTAACACTGATGTGAAAATGCTTTTTAATGATGAATACATTTGATAATATAAACAAAGCATGTTGGAGGTAGTAATCCTTATGTGCTCTGTGTGCATGGGTGTCTGTTAATGTGGACTTTGATCCCAATTATTTGACAGATTGTAATCACCAACATAAGCTGGAGATGCAGGTGCTCTTTTGCTCCAAATATATTTCCTCTGGTACACGCAACTGTTTCTTTCTGCAGGAGCAGCTCACAGCTGGAGTTCATGTTTTGTGTAGGAATGGGGTGCCAGTGAATCTAGGGCTAATCAGGCACTGTTGGGGCAATACTTCCACAAAGGTGAAATTAACTTTCTATCTCAAAATTTCTAAATCTGTGCAGAAGGCCTCCTTGCATGACCCAGGAATAAGGTAGCTGAATTTTAGTTTTCCTTCTCATCAAGAGAAGGCAGAGGAGATGATCTCTGGTGGAATATGGGGAGCTCCAGTGTTTCAATCTGATACATCAAATCTCACTGTGACCTGCAAGTACATCACTTTATTTTATCAGTTCCTTTATTTGTAAAGCTAGCTTTTGAATAATTGCTGTCTTACCTCAAACATGTATGCTTAGGAAGAATTAGCTCATATTTCTAAAACAATTTGAGGCAGAAAAGTGGTGTTTTATTGCTACTTATCATTAATATGTTTTTATTGCTGTATCATTTTCTCTAATGACTCCCTGAAAGCCAAATGGCTTACTGAATAAGTGAAAAACGGTCCATCTAGAACCAGACAAGCTGCTCAGTCCATATGTTTAAAACACACCACTGATGGGCTATGGAATTAATGTACTGAATTTTAGGTTTTATTAGTGGAGGTTTTGAGAGAGAAGAATTTCTCCCCTGTTTGTTACACAGCAGAACAAAGCAAAACGTTTCATGCCCAGGAGGGGCTAAATAACTTTTTTTTTTTTAAATATACTTTGGTACAAGGAAGGGTAAGATTTGTGAGAAACATTAAGAAGCGCCAGTTTAAGCAAATGAGAATAGTGGTTTAGTGTCAGACTTCTGTTCCAGCACCTATATCATACGTATTGTTACTTTGATTGTTCTTGTGCTCACATCGAATGGCAGACTGGATCTGCCCAGCCACAAGCAGCTGGCTGGCTTTGAAGCTATTTAACCACACTCCATTACTAAACCTGAATGGGGTCTACTCTGCTCTGGTGAGACCCCACCTGGAGTACTGCGTTCAACTCTGGAGTCCTCAGTATCAGAAGGATATTGACTACGTGGAGCGAGTCCAGAGGAGGCCACGAAGATGATCAGAGGGCTGGAGCACCTCTGCTATGACGAAAGGCTGCGAGAACTGGGCGTGTTCAGCCTGGAGAAGAGGAGGCTCCGAGGAGACCTCATTGCAGCTTTCCAGTATCAGAAGGGGGCCTACAAGGGTACTGGGCGAGGACTTTTTACAAGAGCCTGTAGTGACAGGACAAGGGGTAATGGGGACAAATTGAAATCAGGGAGGTTTAGATTAGATATCAGGAAGAAATTCTTCACAGAGAGGGTGGTGAGGCACTGGAACAGGTTGCCCAGAGAAGCTGTGGATGCCCCCATCCCTGGAAGTGTTCAAGGCCAGGCTGGATGTGGCTTTGAGCAACCTGACCTAGTGGAAGGTGTCCCTGCCCATGGCAGGGGGGTTGGAACTAGATGATCTTTAAGGTCCCTTCCAACCCAAACCATTCTATGATTCTATGATAATATGCCAAATTGCCATCATTTTGAAGAATGTACTCTTTGAATTTCTCTGAACATGAAACCTGAGGCATTAGGGGCAGAACAAAAAAAAAAAAAATCTTGGCAGAGGTGACATAAGCCGCTTGAGGCGCAGGCCTTAGTTGGTGGTGACACAAGCCTCCTCAAGAGCAGGCCTCCGTTGGTGGTGTGCTGGTTTGAATACATGCTGGGGACACCAGCAGAAGTATTTGCAATTTGCACTTCTGCATAGCGGCCAATCAGGGAGAGAGCCTCCTCTTCAGAGCATAGGTAGGGTTGTCCTCAGACACCATGTATGGACAGATTGGAGCTCCATCCCTCACCTAAACAGACCAGTGCATCTCTGGATAGGTTTTTGGATGTTTATTTCATTCTCCTTGGTGTGCTTGACATTGTTGTTGCACTGAACACTAATAGGCTCATTTTTCCTGCAGGTGTCCATCTTGCTGTCCTTTCCACAGCAGCTAGGATAAGAAGGACCTTGTTTACAACAGCAGTGAGGCAATGTTCTGTTAGATATTACTAAATCAGATTATAACTCCTTGCACTGATTCTTGGGCATTGACCAGCATGTACAAAGTTTAGGTAAAACTTATCTTGTCAAAAAGAAAACTGGCTCACAAATTCATGATGTGGTAGAGAGACTGAATTTGAAAATTTTGGGTGGTGATGGACTACTTGATATAGTAGAGGGGTTTGTTAAAAGCCAATGAATAAACGATCCAGATGACTGCAAATGTGAAATCGAAGCAGTGATTATAATAAACTATTCAATGAAGTTCTAGACTTTTCATCTCTGCAGCCATCAACCCACATCAATTCTCTGGCTATAATAAGCCGTAACCGAGCAAAAATCTTATTATATGCAAGAAGGGTGTGGATGGTCTTTTCCAATCTTAGAATTTAGAGCAATGTGATGTGTCTGCTGAAATTGTATTCTACAAGATGAAACTCTTCTGTGGGAGAATAAAATCTTAGAATTGCTGGTAATGGTGTTTTTTTTCTCCTCTTGAGAACTATAAAAAAATATTTTCATTTGTCTGATTGATATGAATAAGACCATCTTGGTTTTTTGGAACTTACTAAAAAGATTTTGATTGGAGTTAGCTCAATAAACTTAATTTCCCAGTCAGAACTTCTTCAAACAGACATTGTAGTTGATTCCACCCTGCATTTAAAAAAAAAAAAAAAAAGGCAAAGTTCAAATTCTTGTTTATATTTAGAGGAACAAGAGAGTGTTTTCTTAAACAGAAAACCTGAATCTGTCAGGTTTGTAGAAATTCTTTAAAATAGATATTCCTTCTCTATTTCTTCTTCCATTGTTTTTTAACAACAAAAATCTCCAAAATTTTATGCTTTTTCTTAGAAGTCTTTTAAAGTGTGTGTGAAAATGCTGCAGTTGAAGAAGCTTCTCTGAATGCTGTCATTATTTTATTCCCCAACATGCTGTTTGGTGTCTAAGAGCTTTGTGGTTAAACCATTGGATCTGACTGCAACGAACAGATTTAGCCTAACTGTCATCTCTTAAGAGTTAAAGGTGTAAATTTTCTTGTGGGCAGAAGGAATTGAATCCTTTTTTTCCTGCTTATTCTAGGGCTTTCAGCAGAAATTCTCATTCCATAGTAAAGAGATTGTGGCCATCAGTTGTTCCTGGTGCAAGCTGGCGGTAAGTGAACAATACTCAGGGAGATTGGTAGCAACTTAAGCCACTGAGTGGCCGCACTGCAAGCGATTTAATTTTTCCTGGCTCTTAGGGTTCCCTCTCTGAATCACCCACAGTTTTGCCATTTCTCTTCCTTTACTCAGACACCATAACTTCATCTGGCTGACACAAGTCTTCTAGAACAGTCTTGCTGCACAAGATAGTTGCTGGCTCCCTCCCATCAGTGCCCTGCTGCTGCTAGCTCAGACAGCCAAAGGGTTTGTCAAATCCAAAAGTATTTGACACAGCTGCATCAAACTGGGTTGTGGTCTCCAATCTGTGATCTGTGTGTAAGTAGGAGTGATTGAGTGTATTGTCTGGGTTTTTTGTAAGAGGTCATGGCTAGGGAAGCTGATCTTTAGTTGTAACAGTTCTTAAAAATCCATAGTTTGAAGGACTTGAAGATGATGGAGTTGGGAACGTTGCTTCAGTTTTTGTACCATCACCCTCCTCTTCCTCTCCATGCTTCCCCTCCCCTTTGTCTTTCTTGGGATCCTTGCCAACCCTACTCTTTTCCTCTCTTCCAGTTTCATAACAAAGTCACCTGTTTCATGCTACATCACATTGAGGAGCCGTGTTCCTTGGGGGCTCACGCTGCTGTCATTGTGCCTCCCACCTGGATCATTAAGGTGAAGAAACCTCAGGTAACTGCATGCTGTCTGTTTCTGAAGCTGTATGGCTGCACAGGGCCAGCCTGGCTTCGCCGCTCGGTACTCCTTCCCTAAGGCATGCTTGTTCAACCCCATCTCTATCCCTGAAACCCAGCATACATCCATGGTGATTACGAACCTCTATCCTCCCGTCCCTCCATCTAGCCCTTCAGTAGGTTTTCCTGATTTAGCAACAAACATCACTTTTGTTCTGAGCAAATCCAGCTCAGATTTGTCCCTGCAACTGTGAGTTCAGCAAGCACACTGCAAGAAACCCCCTGTGTTGTAGGTAGTCAAGCATGTTTCATTAAATAGAGCTGAGCAAATACAGGGAAAAACTGTTCACAAACATTCACTTGAACTGCAGTAAGTGGCTGGACTGGCATCCCTCTGAATTCACTATCAATGGATATTTAAACTATCTTGTCTGTCTTGGATCAGTGCTTGCTGAATGTCAGCAGTAAGCCCATGCGCTCTTCAGTTGTAGGTAACAAGCATTAGACTTCAAAGCTTTTTGTAATGGATAAGATGTGTCTTGGAGAGGATAATTTACTGCAGAACACAATAGGGAGAAAAGGCGTCCAAAAGAGCTGGCCAAAAATTAAGAGGATTCCCATTGTGCAAGAAGCTTTTTTTTTTGTTTTGGTTTTTTCTTTTTTTTTTTAGTTTGAAAGTCTGTTTTCACTCCAGGTTGAACTGCAACAAACACAGAACATACCAGGAGCCAGAAATGCTGGTAAAAGCTTTATTTCAGAAGAACTGAAACAAGTTGGGATTTTTGGGGTGTATGTGTTTTTTGTTGGGTGTTATTTTTTAAAATTAATTTCTAGGATATTAAAACTTCCCACTCATGTTTTCTTGTAACTTTTCTCCATTGACAGGAGCGATACGTGGTTCTTAGTGTTAGTGTGTCTATCCTTGGCAGGTGACCCAGGGCTTTCTGGCTCTGTGTCCTGGTTGTCAGCAAGAAGCTGAAAAGTTCAGGCTGTAGGCAAGGCTGACTAAATGAAGCTGAAAAGTTCAGGCTGTAGGCAAGGCTGACTAAATTAGTCCCATGAAACTGGACAAAGGTGCAAGTTGTGAGACTGCTGAATTTTAATTCCAGTCTAGGGATACAACTGTCAGATTTGTGCACAAGTAGCATTTCTAACAAGCTGGATATTAATTACAAGAAAGGGGAGGGTGGAAGGGGAAATATATATACATGTATTTTACCCAGTAACTTTCCAATTTATTTATCTTTCAATTTGTTGTAAATTGCCATTAGAAACAAACAAAACCCCCTAACAACCAAACCCTCTTTCATATGATTTTGAGTATATTTTCTTAAAAAAAAGAATAGAAAAAGAAAGATTACTGAATTTATGGCTTACAAACCCCCTTTTTGTGAGCTGGCAATACACTCCACGCCCCATGCTTTTAACTAACATCTGGAAATGAATATTAACTTACTAATTCAAATCAAAATAAAAGGAATGAATAAACATGGAGGTGTCCATGGCTGATGTTATTATAAGTAGCCTTTATTTGATCTTTTTATTTCTTAGTTAAAAACATAAAATCAACACTTGGAATTTCCTTTTGATTTGGCATTTGGTCAAAGCAGTGTACCTTCCTTTATAATATATTTAGGGCACTTTCTTGTCTGTTACTTTTTCAGAAGCATTCAAATAAAAACATCTGATCTAAGTAATTATAATTCATAGGAAAAATGGTTTAAAAAAATTACCATTTTCTTTAAGTGTAGTATTTTAGCTTTGTGTGCTCAAGTCATGAGTAGAGAGGAAGTACTTTGATCCAATATTCCCCCTCTATCACATCTCGAGTCCTTGAAACTAGAGGTCAGTGGCATGCAAAAACCTTATCCTGAGTAACTGAAGCATTAGACAGATCAACATGATATTTAGCACAGACAGTGGGCATATTTCCATGAAACTTCTTAATGGCACCCATTGCCATGTCCCAGGGAAATGTGTGCTTATTGCTGTGGAAAATACTGACACATCTTTCAGATGTGTTTTCAGATTTTTGGCAGAACTCTTGTGGGTGGTGTGGGTTTTTTTTTTCTTTTAATATTTTGTTCCCTCCTGCTGTTTCTGGCCAGCTCTACCTATGTGTATTATGACCCTCTTCACCCTATATGTATGTTTGGTAAACACTATGAAATATTCACTGAATTCAGTCCACAGAACATAAACACATAATTCACAAATTTCTGTAAATTCAGATAGTAAATAAATATGTAGCCACCAATCTGATTTTCACATATTACACAATCAATAAATTTGACTAGAAGGCTTTTTGTTATAAATTATTTCCTCAGCTCTAATTAACTACTCACATTGGTCACAGGCAACTCCTGAACAGAGTTCCCTACTTGTATGAAATTGATTTTAGTGGTACCTTCATCCTGTTTGTGGTTGTTTCTTTTAAGTAAATAAGATGGCTTTTTGTAGCAAACCCTTGCCCTGATTATTTAATTTTTATTTATTTTTATTGCTACAAAAATGGTTTTCCATGCTTATTTTGTACAACGTGGGTCACCACCTTTCAAATATTGGACCTGAATAAAGAGCACACTCCCCCTCTGATTACTGGCAATGTTGTGGTAGTGAAACATCATGATGTAATTGGTTAAGAACAAACCTCTGCTGACAACCTAAGTTCTAAATGGGGAGCTTTCACTTCTTGCAAGCAATTGACTGCAAGATGAAGAATATTCAGAATTCAAAAAGCTTTGGGATCGGTGGTAGCCCTGTGTGTAACGACCCATTTACATGAATGGAAAATTCCCAGTAACTACTCCATGTTATTCATAATGTGAGCCACTTCGGTGACTTTTTTACTGATTTACCAGCTCTGGTTTCCTGGGGTTCAAATCAATCCCATCTCCTAGTTTGTGAAAGCAGGTTATCCCTGTTGACTGGTGGTAATAGGTAAAGGTTGGGTTTGGTAGCCCAAGTTTTGTTAGCTCTAGGAATGGACTTGATATACTTACTTTGTGGGAGAAAAGTAGATAATAAAGAGGATCTGGCTGATGCACTTACTGATTTAGTTTGTCTTTTGTTTGGGAAGGCAAAGGCAGTGACTATAAAACTCTTTTTTTTTTTTTTTTCTATTCAAGGTGAGTAAACATGGTGTTTTCTTCTCCTCTTCCTTTGAGGACCTTGAAAATGTAGCAGTGAATATTTATACTTCAGAGTTTATTTCTTCATTTCCTCAATTACTGACTTCAGCTGACTTCTCTTATTGTGGTTTGTGAACAACCAGAAGATGGTTAAGACGGACCATCCCAGCAGCTCTTCATTATTTAAGTAATTTGAAGCCAGCATTCTAAAAGTCTTTGAAAAAAAGGCTGAAACTCTGTAAAGGGAAAGGTTGAAAGGGTCCATTTGATTTGCATAAGATACTCGCTGAAGATATGTGGCCCACATACCACCCAACACCATACAGGAAGGACTCAAATTCTTCTGTTCATCAAGCTAAGCTTGTTTAGAACCATGGTGGGCATGCAATAATAACCAAAAATCTGTCTTGAAGATTGCCAAACTGACATCCACAAAGGAGAGATTTCCTCTCTAGAAGCAAGTTAGGTTTTACATCTGGTGCCCATTTAAAGGTATACTTTGCTATCAGGTACTTCACTGAATAATGTTGTTTATAAAATACTCATCACCTTGTTATGTGAACAAGGTAGTATGCATCTGTTTCTTCAGTTTAATGTGCAAAGACTGATTACTCTTGGCTGTAATTCTTCTGCATCTTTGCAAAGAGAACCTGCATATCTTGAATCAGCTAGTTTTGCCCTTCATCTGCTATGACATGCAGTTGCAATCATCATAGCAAAGCTTTAGGGTCTCTTAACACTGTAAGTGTAGGCATGTTTTTTTAATGAAATAACGTAGTTGTGATGTAGCATATTTTATTGCCTTTTTGAGTGTAGACATGAAAAAATTAATAATAATGAGTGGAGGCTTAGACTATAACTGTTTTTAACATAGTTGTATGCCTCTTCCCACCCCACACACAGACGAGATATGTGCTATTGGGATTTAATGACAACTGCTTTTAGACATTCTTTAAATATTTTTTTAATTAGTTAGGGTATTACTGAATTGCCTTTACCCTTTCCAGAAGAATTTCATTGGGCTTAGTTCTGTCCATTGTGGAGGTAGAATAAGAAGTACAGTTCTAGAGGTACAGTTAAGTACTTGCCCAGTATAATACCTAACTTGAGTTACAGACTATGATTTGCCAGCAGAATTCACTGCACTTTATGGATTAGGATAATTATTTTGAATTCTACACCTGGATGTACTGAAGCACAAGAGAAAGCATTGATATGCACTTGACCTTTTAGCATAACACTAAGACTGCAATAGACTTGATCTCCTCTGTGTGTTTTGCCCTACTCCAGGGAGAATCTTTCAGCAGGGAATGGCTGAGGAACTAAGCTAAGACCCCCATGGGAGGCAGTTTTGAGAGTAATGTACTTTTATATTGACCTGTACCTTTATATTGATATCGGGACTTTTGTCTCATCTGTCCACTGAGGTAGGGCAATGAAAGACTGTGCAGGTGATCTTGCCGATGCACTTCCGTAGTGAGCGTAGTCTTTGTGGCTTATATGCCTTCAAGATCACTTTGTATCAGAGTAGTAAGAGTGTGAAGACTTCTTTAGGTGGTTCCTCAGAATATCATCTGAAAGGGCAAATGTTCTGTAACTGCTTTACAGAGCTGTCTTTTCTTCAATCTTTTCAGCAAGCAGCAAGGTACAGCTATATCCTGATCCACAAGGAATGTTGAGAGGTTTGACAAAAGATTGGGACCTTGTGGTCTACACCAGGCTTCTCTTGATCTGGGTGAAAAAGGATGTCGTCTTTAGGTTTTTGAGTTAAATAGCTGTTAGTTTTTCTTCTCATAGATGTGGAAATACTCATTTCCATATCTGGTGTGTCATAGCAAAGTCTTGAAATTCTAGAAGTGATCATTGGGTATTAAACAGTCTAGTAGCTGTTCTTGTTAATGTTGGTTAGTAAACAGGATTAAAGGACAGACATCACTGCATACAGACGATGATCTCTGGTCATGGTCTGTTTTATTTAGTGGCACACTTTTGAATCAAGTCAGGAGAGAAATGCACTTTCGGGTGAGCTGGGTGGATCTTGCTCCCCTCCTGAAGCCTGAAGAAAATCAACAGTCTTTCTTCTAATGACCTGTGTTACTTTATTTCCTGGTGATGACTAGACTAAAAATTGAAGTTCTGAGAAAATACAGTATTTCCTAAAATACAAAATTCCATTTGTATGGAAAAAGTTAGGGTTTCCTGCAGGTATGACTTCAGTTACAGAATTAAAATAATTAAAAAAATAAAGTTCTCCTTTTTGGACTGTTCTTATCACACCAGCACACCTTTTATGGTGCAGTTGCACTGAACAGGCTATTGCCAGCCTGGAGAATAGCTTTGCAAGTTCTATTTTAATACGTTCTGCAAATCTAAAAGCATTTTTATGTGGTTATCCCCCTGCCATGTAGTTAAGTGATATTGTTATTTAGAAACAAAGCAAACAACTCCCGCGAACACTCCCCTCACCCAAATCTGTAAATATTAACAATTCAGTTTGTTCCTTAGCAAATGATTACACAAGTTTGTTGCTGGAGCTGACTCCACAGTGCCAGCATCATATGCCATGGTGGCCTACGTTATGTTGAGTCATAATGGTTGCCAGAGTTAAAACTTGTTGTTTTCTTTCCTAAAAAAAAAAAAAATAAAAAAACATGAAAAATATCTCATTTATCATGTTTTTTATTACATCTTTATGCAGGTGGTCTCCATACCAGGAGACGAGCCTGATTGGGCAGGAGACTGGAGCCCCGAAGGGGAAACGGGCGTCTCCTACCCCTATTGGGAGGGTTGGCAGGTACAACATGTGGTGTTATGTGAGTCTATGGGAGCATCTGATCTTTTTCCCCCCTCACAGCGTGGGAAAGTTTCCAGTTCCAAAGCACCAGTCTGGTTTCCGTGTGTGGCTTTCTCCATAAACGGTGGTGTGGAAGTGTAAAGCATGCAGCGCATGTAATTTAAATCTCGAGCATGTGCCAGATACTCTTATCATTCTCCAAGTGGACATGCATGGAAGAGCTTCGTAAAGGGGCTCTGTCTGGGCCTGTCTTCTAAATTTTGTTTTGCTTTTCATGTATTCTTTTTTCTTTTGATGTAGAACTCTTTAAAGACTTCAACACGGCGAAAGAAGAGAACATCTTTTAAAAGAAAAGCCAGCAAAAGAGGCAATGAAGTAGGTATTCAACTGCTTTGGAAATCGGGCTCTTTTTTTTGAAATGTCTAAATGCTGACTTTGAGATTCAACATTTACTGCGGGTTTTAATGTTTGTTCCGCTCCCCCTCCCACTGTAAAATTCCACATTATTGAATTTGTTGTGGTAAGAGATCTGTTCTGATAAAAATTGTATGAGCAGTTTTATTTGCCAAGTTGATTTTTCAAGAAACAACAGACCAGACTCCAGAAAGGCCAGCAGCCTAAGCAACTAGCATTCCCTAGGGCTACAAGGGACTAACTTCAGACGTTTTGGTTTCCACTAGGCAGAGCAGGGGTGTGAAACTGGGGTTGTGAAATCCATGGTGAGTGCACTGACACAAGGGTCTGGTCCATTTTGGGTCTATCTCCCTTGGAGGTCTCATATTGGAAATACTCTGCTTGTCTAAAATTTGACATTGGGTCACAGAAAGAGAAAATATGGATGAATGACCTGATGGTTTGCTTTATCACATAGCTTGGTGAAGACCTTAGTTTCCAAACCCAGTCTAGTGGATAAATTTATATAGATGAACATCCTCATGGGGAGAGGTGGAGGGAGATTCTCCCTGCACAGACAGAGCTCTCAGATTAAGGGTCCCCATTTGGGTGGTGGGAGAACTGCAGACCAGAAACTTGAATCTGTCTGTCACAGCCCAGGAGAGTGCCCTTACTATTGGGCTTTCTGGTGTGCTGCAGGTGTAGGCAGGAGGGAGGCAAATAGCTTCCTCACTGATATGGCATATCTGACTTGTGACACTTATTCACAACTGAGAGAACCAGCCAGGCTAGGAATTCAAGAGCAGATCATCTGCACCTAAGTGCTGATACAACTTGTCTGTTAGATGGAATTCGTGGAAATAAGTAGTTTATCATTCTGATTTCCTTTTGAAAATCGTTTGAATTAGAAATAGCACTTTATCTGACACCTTAGTACTTAGACATGCTTAGTATGTGCAAATAATTGTTTCTTTGGGAAATAACACTGAGTAAAGTTTTAAAATAGTTTTGTGCTGGCCTGAAGTTGTTTGGTTTTTCCCCCCCCCCCACTCTTATTTTCTTACTTAATTGTCTCAGCTGGAGAAACTAGTCCCAGCTGAGAACCACATTAACATAGCTGTACTGTTCCCAGTACCTGAGGTAGTTTGGTCAGAGCTAGGTTAGTGGGTCTTCTGCATGTGTTATGACAGGGAAACATGCATAGTTTTTACTAAAGCTGTTTCTTGCTTCTGATTCTCAGGATAACAAAGGTCGGCCATTTGTGATAAAGCCTATTTCCTCTCCACTCATGAAGCCACTGCTGGTTTTTGTCAATCCAAAAAGTGGAGGGAATCAGGTAAGAACATAATTTAAATCCAGGACAAAAAGTTTTTAGTTTAACAGTATTTCTGCAAATGTGAATAGGTTTTGGTAAAATGTGAAGAATTCTTTGCAACTGAATTGCAGAGAGACCTTAGAAGAGGCCCTTGCTGTTGAATGCCCTTTCCACTTCAATGGAATTGAATGGGTGGAATGAATACTTGCGTATTTGAGCAGTTATATTTCTGTCTTCAGATTATGGCAAGGAATCTAAAGTGGTAGTTTGGAGATTTTCAGAAGAATTGTCTTTCCAGAGAAAATTTAAATTGCCAATTAAGTCTTAGACTTTTATCCAAAAAAGTGATTTATTTTTACTAGGAAAGCCTGGTGAAATTAGCAAATGTGAAACAATACATTCCTATGGCATTTAAAAAATCGTTACTGCTCTTGTACTGTTCCATAGGGAGCCAAGTTTCAATGACTATATGATCATGCATTAGACTTCTTTGTTAAGGTTCTTGGAATTAAAACTTACCCAAGTGAATGTTTTTCCAGATTAGTTCTGTCACCTTTTGAATATCAGCCAATCTGAGTACCTTTTAATAAGACAGGGCCTCCTTGTTGAAAAGATTATTGTAGGATATGAGAGTCCTGTAGAGCATGGAGAATAGAATAGCTGCTGCTCGTTTTCTCCTCTGATAAAATAATTAGGAAGGATATCAAATGCAACTGCTAAGACTCCAATTCAAAACAAAGGAAAAAATTAGTCCTTCTAACAATGTGTAATTCACCTGCAAAACTCCTTGCTGTAGGATGTTGTGGATGTGGTAAGCTTACATGAGCTGAGGGAGAGATTTGGAAGACAAAACCAAAGTTTACTAAAGTTCTGGATTCCTCTCAGACTCAGGAGTTCTACTAATTACAAGTAGCTGAGGCTGGGGGATACCTACAGCAAACATCATGTTAATTTAATCTGTTCTTACACCTTTTCTGAGGCACTTTGCTATTCTTGCTTCTCCACTTAGGGGAGGGTGTCAGACAGAAGGAGCAATTCCTCAGAAGAAGGAGCTAATGAAAAAGAAACAGGGGAAAGCAAATCATTATAGCAGCAACAAATGAAAAAGAGAACGTCAAGAATTAACAAAGTTTTAAAACCATGAACAAAACGGTGGCATGCAAAGCTGAGCATTTCCAATAATGTCGTTTCCAATAATAATGTCTGTTGATGACTGAAAGTAACAGAGGAATTAGTGGGCACTGTTCAGAGATAGTTTACCACAAGGCATCCCAGGGCCGAAGTGTAGGTTCTCATGGGATTTTTTTCCCCCAGAAAGCTGATCCTTGTGCAGAGAGCAGTTAGCTTGGCCAAGGTCAGAAAGAAATCGTGCAACTTCGTGGGGCCTAGAATGGGGAGCTGGTGTACATACAGATAGGGGAAGAAATGCAACCAACACCTTGGCAAGGAGTTTAGGATGAACTAGAAGGACTGCAGCCTGTTTCATACGACATATAGACAGCTCTGCAGAAGGGGCATGACTGAACTTTAACTGTTCTGTCACCATAACCACACATGATGCACTATCAAAAATTCCTCACTTGTACCCCCCAGGCTATGTGTGAAATGTATTCTTGAATTACTTTGGAGTACAAGCTCACCCCACAGAGTTCTTAGCCCTCTTCAGCTAGTGAGAGATCCTGCCATCTTGTCTGGGCAGAATATGAAGGGAGGGAATCATGTGTCTAGAATGTGAACCCAAGGGTTTGAGGAGAAAGTTGTATCTTTAGGTGATTGGCTGGTCACACAACATTAAGTGAGGGAGCATTGGGACAGCTGTAGCCCATAGAGTCCTTGGTTCCTGCTTCAGTAGATGGTAGAGGACTGAACTTATGAGTGTTCAAGGTGGTGATGGTGAAAGTCAAAGCAGGCTGGCTGCTTGGATGTTGGTCTTGACATTGTTTCACATGATGGTGACTTTGTGCACAAATTTGTTCAGCTCCTTGCTGGCATGGATGTTTGAGGATGCTGTGGGATAACAGAAGTTTCTTGTTGCAGGTGGTGAGAGGTAAGAGAACAGGTTGCTGTGGGAGCTGAACCTTTGGTCTGACCCCGAATACCTGCTCTTATGACCTGTGAATTAACTATGTTGTTCGTGACCCTTCCCAGATTGGTGGGTTACTGTTCTGTCAGCACTCATCTGCTAAGCCACTTTCTAGTTTGTTTCTTGGTATGTTTGCTTTGTAAGGCACAGAAGAAAGAAAACCAGTGTAAATATAGTGAATAATGAACAGTATTTCTAATAATTCTTAAGCTATTAATATTTTCCCTTAATTTGATTTTTTTTGTCTTTTTCTCAGGGCACCAAGGTTCTCCAAATGTTTATGTGGTATTTAAATCCACGCCAGGTCTTCGATCTCTCTCAGGAAGGGCCAAGAGATGCGTAAGTTTCTCGGACTAGAATACTTTTCTTAGCAGGACAGCAGACCAGGTTCTAGCTTGGATAGATTGGTAGACTGTGTATAGGGTTTACATGTCCAGGTTTTGATAGTGGGAGGGAGGTCTGCAGTGGTGGCTTCTGTGATAAGAGATCAGGAGCTGCCCCCATGTCAGACAGCCAGTTCTAGACAGCTCCAAGATGAACCTGATGCTGTTCCCAGTGCCTGACCATTCTCTGGTGGCTGACTTGCTGCAGAGTGAGGCTGCCTCCAGACTTCCACACAAGACAGCAGAATACAACTATCTCTGCTTGCTGAGTAACTAACTCTGCTTATGTGGGCAATAGTTGAAGTGTGATCCTCTTCCAAGGTAGGTAAGACCTGTCCTTAAAGGCTTGATTCTTGCTGCTAAGAGTTGAGACCATCCTTCTGTGGTATGTGAGATAGTGGTACTTGTTTTACTTAATCATCTGTTCAGCTGTACTTCTTTTTTGTGCTGCCTAACTTGTGATAGTAATTGTGTAAAATCAAATATTTTACTTGTATAAGAGCAGTCCAAGTATTTACTATTCATACTTCTAGATCATCCAACTCTTTCACTACTGCTACTCCCCTCATGACATAAAGAAGCTTTAATGTTCAGAGCTGTGTAGTGGAGTTAAAGGAGGGATACGTCATTGGCTCACTAGGCTCCCTGTGTGAATATATCCCCTCCACTGGGAGATATTTCACGAGGCCTCTCTTTCATGCAGCTGAAGGGACATGTCTTTAACGGATGTTTTTTTGGCTCTCCTGTTGATATCTTAGGTCAGATATGCAGAGAAAGGGGTCTGTTAGCTGTAATTGCCTTCTCTGGTGTTAAAGGAAAATAGTTACCAGTTGAAGAGTTGTCATGTTCTACATGCCCCAGAAATGATGGCTCAGCAAATCCTGATGAGGAACACTAGATTTTGTTTATAAAACTTAATATTTGGTGGGGTGGTGTGTGGTTGGGTTTTTTTTTTTCTCTTTAGAGTAAGACAAAAATGATTTTGTTGTCCCCAGAGGGAGCATGAGAATCTGGCCTTTCAGATTTAGCATGGGAACATGCTTAGAAAGATAAAATACTCCTGAGGAGGTGCTGCCTAACCGTGGACGAAGGGGTCATTTTGCATCCTAGTTGATTTTTGTGTGTGTGAAGTGAGGTGAGCTGCAGGGCTCAGGCTGGGTCAGGGCTGATGCTATTGAGTGCAATAAGCAGTGATTCAACTTTCACTTGGCAAAATGCATAAGGAGTGCCTGCATCATTGTTCTGACTTCTCCCCCCACTTTGTTGCCTTTCTCTCGCCTGGTCAGGCTGGAGCTGTACAGAAAAGTGCCAAACCTGCGGATCCTGGCCTGCGGCGGAGACGGGACGGTAGGTGATGCTGATGTCTGGCAGCCCCATGGTCATTGCCAAGAGTAAATTACTTGCAGTTGTGGGTTTCCCACTTTTCAATGCCTGCAGAATCAGATAATGTACCTTACACTTGTGAAATCTACTTTTTTTTTTTTGTTTTAATTTTCTGTGTGGCCTGGTCAGTGTAGTGATGGGGACAGTTCCTAATGTCCAAGGTCCTATTAGCTTTAGGCATCAAGATTTGGGGTACAGCTTAACGAAGAAAAAAACCTCTGCTGGTTTTCTCTCATTCTTTACACAGATCTGAGGGTCTAAGAGGTTAAATCAGTGTCTGGGAGCCATGAAACCTTGGTTTCTGCTCCTTCCTGCTATTGCCTCCATGGTGTCTGAGTAGTGTCAAATAGGGTGTCCTCTGTGCCCAAAGAAAGTGAGTTTCCCTGCTTTCTTTACAAAGCGTCTGTGCAGAAGAATATTGTATTGGCCATACTACTAGCTAGATCCAGGTTCAGTATCTTTCTTTGCTACTGAATTTCTGTGTTCTCGGATAAGTGAATAGAGTCAGATCTTTAAAGGATTTAGGCACTGTCAGTTGCAGACAGGCTCTGCAGTTAAGGTCCTGGAGATCATGAGTGGTAATGGACGTACTACAACCTCATTACTCTTTCCAGTGCTTAGGAAGATTGTAAATCTCTGTCTGTGCCACTGAGTGCTTAAATACAGTTGGAAAACTCACCTTTAATCTCTGTGGAGATCAGCTCCCCAAACATGCCCTTGATAATAGCTGCAACAGTAAGTATGGTAAGGCAAAAGTATTACTGCTGTTGAGGTGCAGTGGGTGGCCAGGATAGATATATGTAGACGTTTAGGACATGGGGAGTATTTTATCTTTTTTTAGTGAGCTCAACTCCCACCCTTAACTTCTGCTTGAATTTCTGAGGGAACTTTATGTTCAGCTTCTTTTGGATTCTTTTAACACCCCAGCCACAGAGGTTATTAATACTAATGCTTCCCCTGCAAGAGTGAAGAAAAAAGTGATTAGACTACTGTCTTGCTGGTACCTGGGAAAATAAGATATTAACATTGCTGAGCTGTGAACTTACCTTGAGAAATGTGCAAGGTATTGTTTTAACAGGAAGTCAAAGCTGCAAAAAAGAGTTTCAAGCTGTTTCTGAAAGTATTTTTCTTCTGTCTGAGGAAACCAATATTTTAATGAAGGGGCAGATTTCATCCTAATCGTTAAACTAGAAATGAATGCAACTACATTGAGCCTGACCCCATCCCTGGTTTTCCTGGTGCTGAGCAGTGCCAGCGGCAGGTGGCAGCACCTTCTCACTGGGATAAGCAGCACTCCCCATTACCTTTGCTGCTGCTCAGTTTGAAGCAAATTAGTATCTAGTCACTCCCAAAGCCATTACATCTAGAAATGAAAAATCTGGCTGAAATGGACTTACTGCATATTCAATGAGACCAGATGTTACCTTGCATTATTGAGGTGACTCGGAACTTATTGTAGCTTTTCCATCATCACTGCTTGCTGTTTCTTCCCAGGGCTGAGTGGAAAGCTTTGCTTTGAAAACAGTCAGGAGTGTTCTGTTTACAGGGAAATGGTAATCTGTGCCATCCTTGACTGTAAAACAAATGTAGAAGGTTTAGAAATGACCCCAAGTTAAACAGCAGTGTTGTAGTTATAAATTAGTAATTTGAAACTGCTGTTTATCAGTTAAAAGCACTTACAAAAGTAGTAGTTATTGTAATGGTACCTGTGCCAGTGGGAGGCTGAGGCACAGGTTTACGGATTAAGTCAGTGACAATGACGAAGGGCTAATTGCAAAGGACGCTCTAAGAAGTCCTGGCCTCAGTGAAGCTTTTGGGACTCTTTATTCTGTCTCTTGTTATCAGTATTGAAGGATAGATATTTTGATGGGTAGAGGATTACTTATCTCTGAAAATCCCTGGTGGACAATCCTCAGTCCTACCGTGGTGCCTATGATAGAACAAAGTACCTTCGGTGACATCCAAGTTTGTGAGAGTTGTGATTTGGAAGATTGTCAGACAATGAGCTCTAATATGGAATCACATCCCAGAGGAATGCTTTAATAATTGGACAATTGGTTATGATAAACATCTATCTGATAAATGCTATTTATATAAAAATAAATTTATCCATCCAGAGACTTAGAGAAAGACATACCCTAGAATACTGAATGGTGTGGTGGCTGCTATATTTATCAGGCCACCCCTCTGCAGTCCTTCAAATTCCAAATGTTGTTCCCAATGCCCATGTTATGCTGGGTGCCTTTCATGAACCTCTGGTGCCATCCCGGTTTGGGTTAAGGATTTATTTGAAATCATAGTAGTATTAGTTGGGGAGGGAAAATCCTGTCCAGTTGCAGTCTGGATTTTGTTTTTCTGTCTTATTTAAAAGCTCACATTTCCAGTAGAGATTGCATCTTTGAACACTGGCATCAGGGGGAAAAAATATCTCATTTTCTCATGTTTGTTTTTCTTAATTATTTAAAAATTCTGCACAGACCCTTTTATGGAATGTAATTATTTTTTTTTTTTTTAATAGTGAGAAATAGTTTAAGAAATAGTCCTATTTTCTTGTAGCAAGAATTTCACTTCTAAAAGATTTGATAACATCTTCAGCAACAATTCTTTTCTTCCCTTGGAAATTATCATGTAATAAAACCAAAATATTTTACAGTAATGTGTTCCTTCTGGCTAGATTTCTTTTTGAAAGTTTTATGTCATCCAGAATAGGGACAGGAAAGATAAATAGCTCTCTGAAATAACTAATAACATACGATAAGAGCCAGATTCATTGTTCCAACCCGAAGCCTGTATATGAGAGTTTGCCTTTTATTTTAGTCTTTTATTTCTTATATGCGTGTATACACATGTGACAAGAATATATATACAGCTTATATATATAATGCTTTGCACTGAGTGAAATAATTCAGCATTAAGGTCTTTTGTCTGGAAAATGGGAGACCTGTGAGCTAGACTTCATTTGGACCCTCTGTTCAGGACACGCTCCGAGATACCACACTGTTTTAATGTTTCTCGCATCTTCTTTCATAACAGTTGTCAAAGGTTTAGTTTCCTTTAGCATAATGGCAATTAAAAAAAAAAAATATTGAGTTGTCCATATTATTCACTCATGTTCACATAGTGTTTTTCAGAGCAATGTGGTTAGATTTCCTGCTTAAAGAACACCAACTTACATGTTCCCTTTTCTCAGTATCTCTGTGTGCTGTTAAAGACAGCCAGTGTTTACTTGCCTTTGCTTCTGCTTGCACAGGAACTTCATGAAAAGTGCTGTACCTGTTCTCCAAAAGGTGAAACCTCAAATGGTGCAGTTGTAGAGTTAAATTTGACACCCTCATTTTTAGTTCTTCCATTTGTTTTACTTGATCTTCTCTGGAAAGGGGATAGGATCAAAATATGTCCTTTTTTTTTTTTTTTTCCATTCCTTTTCATCTTCCTGACAGACAGTTCTCTGTACTTTCCGTTTTACAGGTGGGCTGGATCCTCTCCATCCTTGATGAGCTGCAACTCAGCCCCCCTCCTCCTGTGGCAGTTCTTCCACTTGGCACTGGGAATGACCTTGCCCGGACCCTCAACTGGGGTGGGGTAAGCACTGACTGTGGTACTTTTATGAGTGGTCTATCAACTTGCTGCTCTGATTTAGTTTTGTAGGGGAGAACTTCATTTTGGCTTAAATAGCAGGTGGGGCTGTGTCCAAGGTCTGCTTCAGTTAGGCACAATGGTTTGGATCAATTTCCAGTCTGGGATCTTGAATTACTAGCAATGTAGTTGTTGTTATAAAAGTGTATATAGATGGATCTGTCTGGTATTTCAGGCCAAGTAATTAGGAGGATATTCAGTCTTCTAGTTTAATCATAGTTTAAATTTTATTTCTCTGTATTTATCCATGGCTACACCGCTGGAGTTATTCCAGTCAAGGCAAATACACTTTTGAATTCCTCTTCTTATGGCCTTACTTTGCCTGCCCAGACTTGTGTACCTCAGCAATAGCTTGCTAAAATGCTTGATACATGGAAATTTAGCAATACTTTGATGTCAGAAACACCTGATCTGGTGTTTTAGGCCTGTGTGAAAGGAGGGACATCTCCCAGGTAACTGGTGAAGGGCTTGCTCTGCTTTCACTACCCGTGGCTAATAAACTGGTAACATTCCTCTGTGTCAGGGTTACACAGATGAGCCAGTGTCCAAGATCCTGTGTCATGTAGAAGATGGAACCATTGTCCAGCTGGATCGCTGGAATCTCCAGGTTGAACGCAACCCTGATTTGCCACAGGATGAGCTGGAGGATGGGGCACGTAAGGTTAGAACCTTCTTTTTCCCACGGAGACTATAGGATGCTTAAGAGCAAATAAGCTGCATGGGTGGGAAGCTCTAAAACTTTTTAATTCTCTAGTTGAATCTCTTCCTTTTGCTCTTTTCATGTGTCAGTACTTCCACAGGTGTGTGAAACATAACACATACTATCCATTTATTTCTTGTCTGTAACTGCCAGGTGTTGAGCAATTATCTGATGAACTAAATCCTGGGAAAGAATGCCTAGCACTTTATCTGAAAGGTCATTGTTGGTTTATTTTTTTCTTCAGTTAAGCTGGGGTAAGAGGCCTATGACTACCATTCAGTAGTCATTTAGTCTAAATTAGACTAAATTAAAAACAGGATGTAGAATTTTATTCCTTAGGATTTTGCTAATGGATATAATCTGTTTCCTAATTTACAGCAAGGTGTAGTGTATTTATATGTATTTAACTTTCGTGTGTAGATCTCTGTGTAAACTCCATTAATGTATCTTGATAGCTGGCTAATGGGAAAATTTTTGTCTAAGAGAATCACATTTTATGGTAATGTGTCATTTGGACTGGAGGTATTGTAAGTGTTACAATCATGAAAATGGCTCACAGAACAATTTTTTTCTCAGTTATAATTTTAGCTTGCCTATCAGGTGCTACTGTTCTGTCTCTACAGCCCTGCTGGGCGTGTGTGATGGTGAAGAGGCCAGTTGTATACTTCCCTGCCTCATGCATCCTCAGTAGAATTAAGGCTTCTTGTCTGGGACCTGCATTGCTCCTAGTTACATATGAAACAGGAAGAACACAGCTTGAGTTTCATCCCCCATTCTGAGCTTGAAGTGCCAGCATTTCGGAAAACCTTTCTATTGAGATGTTAGGTGGAGCAGCATCATGGAGAACCTCAATGACAACATAGGGAGCCCTTTGATGTGTTTACAAAGATACATATATGATCCTAAAGCATTGTAGATGTTTGTGTTGTTTCGGATTTTGTATTTGATCATCTTCCACATGCCATTACTAACCTTCAGAGCAACCTTCTGTATACATTTCCCTGATATGTTCCACTTTCTCCTTCGTAGGTTTTAATGAGATGCCAGGTTTGAAGTGGTTAATTCCTAGTGTGTCATGGCATATTTCATTCATGTTATTTTTATAAGTCTTTTTATTATCCAATTACAGCTTCCTCTCAGTGTCTTCAATAATTACTTCAGCCTTGGATTTGATGCACATGTTACACTGGAATTCCATGAATCTAGAGGTAATAGGAACCAGCCTTGGGAATGGGTGATTATTTTATGAATTACAAATGGAATTGGATTTAACATGCTGTTCCAGCTTTCCTTCTGATTTATAAGAACATAAAACCATGAAGATACAAGAACTTCCTTCCAACTTGTAGGTATCAGGAGTTTCTAAGGGACTTCATGATTTAAAAATGAAAAAAAGAGTACAAAGAAAAGTGACATTCACTCGAGGAAGGACTGAAAGGGGAACTTTTCAAAGTTTCCAGTCTTCTAAAGGAGACACGGAATAAGCAGAAAGAAAAGCAAATGTAAGTCAGGTGCAAGTGTGGAGGTAGAGGGAGGAGAAAAGCTGCAAGACTGGAAGTAGCAGAGTAGCAGGAGGATAATTGTTCTCAAACTGAACAGCTGTTACCCGTGGATGGGTGTAGCCTAACAACATTTGACTTGGTGCAGACCCAGAGTGTCCCTGTGCAAGTGAAAGGTTTTAATGTCCACAAAACCGTCAGGAATTTGAGCTGTTGTAGCATCTTATTTGTCTACTTGCTGATGGCAGTTATTCTACCTCATACAGGTCCAAATGTAGCTTAATGGTGGGCTTTGGACTGATGTAAACTGCTCTGTTTATGATTTAGGCAAGCATACTTGCATAAACAAACCCTGTTCAATTGTCTGTGTTCAGCTTTTGGTCGTTTCAGCTTCATTTTCAGGGTTTTTTGAGTTTTTTTGAATCATAGCCTCCCTTATCTTTGCTTTCATACTATCAGAGTGTCTTTTCAAGATGAAAAGATAGCACTCTAATGCCATGCTAAATAAAGAGCAGGATACATGATGGAATGAGCTAATGCATATTTTATAATGTTTAAGACTGCTTCAAGCTCTAGGAATAATAATGAGGGGCCACAAAAGGGCACAGGAATGAAATGATGACAGCTGTATGCATTTTTTTTATGAATGCATATCACTATGCATTGCTAATGTGACTCTGAATATACAGTATAGATGAAATGCATGGCTACTTTCTCACTTAATGGAAGCATTACTTAATAATGAAGTTATGAAGCCCTATAAAGAATGGATGTTATTCCAGAGATGGCAGTGTTTTAAAAATTAACATGGGTGAAAAAATACTTGGCAGAGCAAGCTGTGTGTCTGTGAGTGGGTATGTGTGGCCAGGAGAGCTTTTCATAGCACAAGTGCCTGCTCTTACTAGTACTTACTGCTGGTGTTTTCCTTACACTCTCAAAACATAAAATATACAAAATGAATCCTATGTATTCTAGGAAAGAAAAGCTTTTATAGCCTTGGCGGTGTTGCTGGTGTGTCGGTTTTCTTGTTATTTCATGTGGAATTGGGGTTTTTTAGCCTGGAGAAGACTGAGGACACCATACTGTAGTTTTTCAAGACTTAACGGGGGCTTATAAGATGGGGACAGACATTTTAGTAGGTCCTGTTGCAACAGGACAAGGGGCAATGGTTTTAAATGAAACGAGCATAGATTTGGACTACATTGAAGGAAGAATATTTTTGATGAGGGTGGTGAAACATTGGAACAGGTTGCACAGGGGGTAAATGCCCCATCCCTGGAAAGCATTCAAGGTCATGTCAGACAGGGCTCTGAGCAACCTGATCTAGTTGAAGTCACTGCTCCCTGCCAGGAGGTTAGACTAGATGACCTTTAAAGGTCCCTTATAACCGTAACTATTCTATGAATTCTATGAATTTTAAAGTCAGGCTGGACGAGGCTTTGAGCAACCTCGTCTCGTGGAGGGTGTCCCTGCCCATGGCAGGGGGGTTGGAACTAGATGGTCTTTAAGGTCCCTTCCAACCCAAACCATTCTGTAATTCTATGAATGAAGCAGTGCAAAATGGATTCTGACCTCGTTTGCCATTGATGACAACCCAGAGAAACTCTTAGGAGAACTTCAGCAAAACTTAAAGCACTTTCATGGCTGTAGTGCTTGGTACATTAAGATAAGTGATTGAATGCAGTTGCTTATGTGGAGGTATTGTAATCACACATAGTATTAAACCAAACACCTACCTCCAAATAAATTGATTTGAACTCTCAACTTATTGGTGTACTTCGTGCTATACCGATTGGTCAATTGTTATGTTTTTGAAGCAGTGATTGCAATGTCTCAGAGGAATCTGTACATGAAAATGACCTTTTCCATGGCCACCTCTACACTTTTCTTGTGAATAATCAGATTGAGCCTTAAGGCTTGGCTCCAAGCCTAACGTATTTAACTCTGCTGCTTCAGGAAGTGTTCTGGGTAACAACTCTTTCCAGTTTCCTCCCTTGTTATCCTTATGCTTTGGTGGAAAACGGGAGATGCAATTTACTTTATCCCTGTTCACATGCTGTTTTGATCCCTCAGCTCTACAGGACTGTTCATTTGCAGGACCCCCTCCCCTCACTACACACAGAGTGTCTAACACATTCTACTTCCTACTCCCTTGATGACTTGAGAATTGTGATGGTTGAATGAGCCTTGGATATGCAGTCAGTGATTTTCTTATACAATCCAAGTTGCACTCTAATCAATTTTAGGCTCTATTCCACATCGCAGAAAGAGTCCTTCCTCCCTTTGCGTGCTCATCTGCTATGTCAGAAGCAAGAGCAGTTCAGTATGTTGAAGCAGTTAAGTATATGCTGAGTCCCTGACCCGTTCTAAAGTGGGGCTTTGGTTCCAGTCAGCATTTGTCCATGTAAGAGTCAGTGCCTTTGTGGCTGGTGCCCAGAGCCATCAGGGATAAGCATATCGTAGAACATACAGCACAGGCACTGAGCCTTCACGAGTCTCCTGCTTCTTGACATGGGGCGTTGAGACCCTGTGAAGAGCTGTCAGCTTAGTGAGATGACTTACCTATGCAGTTAAATTCATTGTTTGAAGAGGTAGCCCTGACTGTGTTCTAGGCTCGCCTGCAACACAACAAATGGATGATACATTAGCTAAGTAGGTCATTCTTACAAAATGGAGCCTTATATTGTGAGATGTAGTGACTTCAAAGAGAACTAGAAGTATTGTTTCAATTGTTCATTTGAGAAGAAGTAATTTGGAAGTGTGCACGCCAGTGTGATGCTTTAGCTAGAAGGCCTATCTTGATACTTGGATGTTTTGACTAGAGAATTACTGAGCAAGGATAGGTGGTTGGTACTACCACTGAATACAGTGTCAGAAGGGCTGCTTCTGAAATCCCTGGATGTCACAGGCTAGGAAAGCAGTTCCCAGGGAGGCACAAGGATGACCTGTGTTCTGGGAAATATGCCTTATACAGAGAGATTAAAAGAGCTCCATTTAGCTTATTGGAAAGAAGGTTAAGAGGCGATTTAATCACTGCCTGTAAGTATTTACTCAAAGAGAAGATATCTGATATTTGGGGGCTCTTTAATCTGACAGAGAAGTGTAATGAGATTTAGCAGTTGACAGCTGAAATCTGAAAAGTTCAAGATAGGAAAAAAGCTCACGTTTATTTTAACAGTGAGAATAATTAACCACTAGATGGGCCTTACTGCTGAACTATTAAAATTCTCCATCACTTGGAAGCTAATCAAAATGAAACATCTCTCTAAATAAGTTTTAGAGTAACCACTTTTCTTTTTCTGCAGGAATATTGAGTAGAGATGTCTATTCCTCAGTACGTTCTAGATACCCTCTTTGTAACACATCACAATTTAAGGGTCTGTTTCATTTTGTAATTTAGTAGTGCTTTACTCCTGCTTCAAAGCATGGGTTAGTGTGTCTTGAGGTCTGTTAATAATTCTTAGAGGTCTGTTCTGCATTGATAGAAACAGAAGTATCACAAATGGTACTGAGGGATCTTGAGATGAAGAGTCTGAGAGGTGATAAATGAACTGGTAGTGTTCTTGTTACATCTTTGCTCATTTTTCTATCTATTTTCACTCTACAGGAAAGGGGAACAATTTAATATCAAAGTTTGAAATTTAATAGCAGATAATGGCACAGATGGGGAACTCGCACAAGAAAAATAAGTTTATGTTAATATTTTCACTGAGTGATGCATGCTAAAAGCACTGTAGTGCTAGAAGGGAATGTGAAGATACAGTGGAGTCTACTTGTTTTATTAGGGTGTTCATATTTTTCCTTTTATCCTTTCACAGAAGCAAATCCAGAGAAATTCAACAGCCGATTTAGAAATAAAATGTTTTATGCAGGGGTGAGTTGTGATTCATCTTACAGCCTGATGCTGACTTAGTTGTTTGAATGTTTGCTGAAGTACCTTCCCTCTCACTTGCTCATGTCAGTTCATTTTGCTTGTTGCAATTTGGCGTGCACATGTACTGCTTCTGGCAATGCTGCACATGTATGTCTGTTGGGAAGTGCCTGAAGCGCTGTTTTACAGCACTTAGGGGGTGAGAGAAATGGTACCCTTTGAACATAATACTGGCCATGTTTAGTCCCCCTGCTTCTGGCTCGTGAGCTTCTCAAACTGCTCTGCTTTTGTCAGGGTTAGGGCAGCACACTGATATTGCCCTTCCTAGAGAAAATCCCCAAGTGCCGGCCCCTATCACTGTGGCTTTGAGGCGTAGTCTTGGATGTAGGGTTATGGGGAGTGGAGATCAGAGATCAGCTGTTTGGAGTGTTTCTTTTTCATGTGTGAATACAAAAATTAAATTACCTGCTTTCTGCATTCAGGAGGTGCATGAACAACACTTTATTTTAAAATACCGTTATTAAGGGACAAACCCTAATTTGATAATGTGTGACATTTCTGGATGATGACTTCCACCATACCCACATGCCTTAAACATGGAAACAAATATGTGAGCAAGAATTTGCCTTTAAATCCTTGGGGGCCCAAGTAACTTCTTTGGTTAATTTCTCAAAAGGAGAAATATCATAACTGGAAAAAAGGAAAAAAAACCCCTATCTCCTAAGAGCAAGAATGTTTGACTAAAGGATGGCATTTGGTAATTAACTCTGGTGGGATAAGGAAAGAGGAAGCACTGGTGACAATTCCTGCACTTATTTGTTGCAGGCAGCCTTTACAGACTTTCTGCAAAGAAGCTCAAGAGATTTATCCAAGCATGTTAAAGTTGTGGTAAGTATAAGAAATTGTGTCATAGTATTATGGGAGGAGGGGAGGTGGAGAGGGAGCGAGGTGAGAGTTTAATGGCTCTGTTACTTTTCAGTTTTGAGCATGACATTTGCAACACATTCCAAGGAAAGTCTTGGGAAAGTTGTTACAAAGCAGCAGCACTTCTCTTGTCTGTGGCTCCATTCAGCAATTTCTCTGTGCTCTGTCACTTTGGCTTTGTAGTGTGATGGTACAGACCTGACTCCAAAGATCCAGGAGCTGAAGTTCCAGTGTATAGTGTTTTTAAACATACCCAGGTAAGCTCAAGACAGATGCTTGGAGTTATAAAAGAAAAAAAAATATTTTTTTTAAAAAGGTACTTACAATGTGTCCTAGGCTGGGTGAATGTGCAGGACTTGTATTGCCACTGTGCTGCCCTCTTGAGACCTTAGGTGGTGATGAGTGTTGAGAAATACAGAGTGGGATCAGTGTTCAGGGTGCAGCAAAAACGCATCCTTTACATAGTTGAATATCCTGATACAGAGATAGTAGAAATCATGAGTGAACATCCTTTCAAAAGTTGTGCACCTAACCTGAAAACAAGAGAGTAAAGACACAGATGCCTGGTCTTTTGCTTAATTAAAAGCTGAATGTGAAAAAAGGGTGAAAGGGGGAGGTAGGGGGGAGAATATACATGTTTTTCTTGTAAAGGAACACTAAAACCATTGAAAGTAGTCTTGTTTTTTAACATGTTAGAAGGTGTCCCAAATAGAAATGTAGCTGTATTCTTAAAAGCTGGTCTCCAAACTGTTGGTGATTGTATGTCTCTGAGGAAACAATTTTTTTAGCATCTCCCCTTGTATGTATATTTATTTATAAATTATATACATGTACTACCTTACTAGTGTATTACATACATTATAAAACATACACAAAAATAGAAATTTAGAGATGTGATCAAAATGAAACACAATTTAAATTTTCTCTTATTTATTAGAAGTACAAATAATGGCTTCAACACGCCTTGTCAATTATGGATTTTTCTTGTGCACTCCCCTTAGGAAACTGCTGCTTTAGACAACCTATTACTTTGCTCCACAGAGTCCCAAGCATTTGATCTTTTGAGTCCTGCACTGCCCTCACTGCAAGCTTCTACTTGGTGTGACCACTCCAGAGTTTCCCCTTCTATCACTCTTAGATCACTTCTATGTCCATTCTTTAATGGCAGGGAAGATAGATGCCACAGCTGCATCTGTTCCTGTTTCTTATTTCTCCTTGCCTCCTCAAGCTATGCAAGGCTTGGCATTCCTTGTGCTGGCAGAGCTCTTGAGACAGCAGGGAGAGAGAAATGGAGTTGTGAGGCTGGAGTGGCTGCTGCAGCCCCATGCCTGCCTAGCAGAAGGGGCCAAGCCACTTTGGCTCAGAGCTCGTCCTCAGAAAGCCAAGCAAGTGGGGACAACAAAGTGCTGCTTCTGTTATACATTTCCTGATGTTTTCCTGTTTTCCTCTAACAGAGGAACCTGCTAAAGATGATGATGGATACATTTATGGATGTTGTGCCACCTTGGAAATAAGAGGCAGGTTTTCCCTTTTGTCCAGTCCTTGTCAACATAACTTTTAATTGTCCCTGAAATGAATCCTGGAATAGATATCTGGATAGTTCTGGAGGACAGCAGAACAGGCTAACAGTCTACTAGTGAGGACCCATCAGGGCAAACTGTTTTCTCAAAGTTTGCTTTCCTAACACCTTTCTGTAGGTATTGTGCTGGCACGATGCCCTGGGGAAACCCTGGAGATCATAGAGACTTTGAGCCTCAGCGCCATGATGACGGCTACATTGAAGTCATTGGGTTCACCATGGCCTCTCTGGTGGGTACATTGCAGGTGTTCCCCTTCCTGTGGGTGCCATGGCTAACTTGCATGTGCAGTGCTCCCAAGTTAAACGGCAAGATTATTACAGTAAGAACAGCATGCGGGCATGCTTCTATTGTGGGAGTGTTCTATGGTCAAATAATTACTGCTGTTTCTTTTTAGCTTTTATTTATTTCAATCTGTGGTATGAAAGTTCAATATTTTTTTTTTGTAAATCTGACTACTGGAAACCAATATGAAATATTGTATAAAATTATATGCCCAGGTAGTTTTCATACACCCACTAAAAATGTTGTGCAAACTTAATATAATGTTTGTGCTAGAAATATTATTTCCTTTTATTCTGCTGGGGAAGGAAAATGCAACCAACAGTTTAAATTTGCCAGTACACTTTCTGTCAATGCTGTGCTTAAAGTGAAAGAAAGCTGAGTTACCGTACAAGCAATCTCGCTGTAAATACTCTGGTGTCCTACTATCACAGTGGTCAAACACAGTGACAATCTCTTCAGAGGATGATTAAATGCAGTCAGAGTTGGTATTTATCCTGGTGCTAGCATTAATCTATGTAAGGCCCTGAAGCTTGAATTTAGTGTGGACAAGGGAAGGGACATATCTGGGCTTCCTGGCAGGTTTGTATAGATCTTGCTTAAGTCCATAGCCTTAGGCCTTTGTTCCCACTGTTTTGTGTGCCCCAGGTTAAAACTAACATGGATAAGCCTGTTTTCACTAAACTCACACACTTCATTGTTGTGTGACCTGCCCTCAGCCCATATCACTTTCAGTGAATACCCATGATAACGGTGTTTGCTTCCTCAAAGAGAAATTCAGACAAATCTAATCTTCAAAGTAAGCACAAGTAAAAGGTTGTCTTGATCAGCAATTATTTCTTTAGAAGCCTGTCTGGGTTAAGGGTTGTCTTTTGGCCTCTCTTTTTTAAATGAATCTAGTGGGTTAGGGAAATAACCCCCAAGTAAGAAAAATTTTGCTTGTTAGCCTAGTAGATCTTATGGAATGAACCTTCATTACTTCACCCCTGAAGATTTTAGGCTATGTTTGTGAAAATGCTCTCAAAAGTATATTTAGCATGTACCAACTGCCAGTTTTCAGTCGGAAGCTTTTTTGGGTTTGGCACTATTATGGCTTCAGCCACTCACAGTGGAGAGAGTGATCTCAATAGTTTTAGCTGGGACTGAATTTTACAAGTAGGGCCTTTTGAGCCTCTGTTTCTCTTTAAAGGAAGCCTAGTTCAGAATTGAGGATCTACCAGTCTATATTGGTTGTGAGGCTGAGGAACCACTGTACCCCTAGACTATAGTGATATAAAACTAATTTGCTCTGTATGTCTCCTGGGTGTACTTGGTCACACCCAAGAAGGCCTGTGAGACCAAGGAAGAAACTTACTTTAGAAGAAGTATTGTTATGAATATTATTGATCATATCAGTTGATCCATAATTTTAAACACATGGAGCAGGATTCAGGTCTTGACTTGTGTTTAGGCTGTTCTCTGTTAGCAGTGCATTAATATAGGATTTTTTTTCCCGCATCTGATAGATGCAAGTTAATAGCCATACTAATTTAAAAATACATTTCTACCAAAACGTGTCTGCCTAGAACTTGAAGGATCTGCTCACTGCCCTCCTTTTTTTGTTTCTTTGAAATGAATTCTTGGGCATAATATTTAATTGTTTTTAACAAGGTCCTTTTGTTTGCTCTGTTCAGCCTGTCTAGCCTTGAGGTTCAGTTGCTTATGTAAGCTTTCATGATAATTATTATAAATTGATCTAATTCACATTAAGGACTGTATTCTGTTCAGGAAGGGGAAATAATTTTTTCTATTGCACATGTGCCTGATTAGGTTTGTTTTAAAGAACAAATAATTAGTATTATTACTGTTAGTGTAAAACCAAACCAAGCAAACTAAAATGAAACCTTTAAGAATGAATGCAGGTATTCACTTATGCATGTGTGTCAGGTTGACCTATACCAAGGCAATAAGATGTGCAATGTATATGGTTAATATCTCCTTGTTGCTCACCACTTTTATTTGTGAAATTTTGAGTACTACTTTGCAACTTTTGAGTGAAAATACATTAATTGTGCTTTGTTAGAGTGCCTTATTCATGGAACACCGTAGTGAATGCTGTCAGTAAAACTTTTGGACTGGTTAACTGCCTCAACACTCTGTTCTGAGGTAGCTTTTCTTTCTCTTCCCTGTTTTTTTTGTTGGTTGGGTCTTTGGGTTTTTTTGCAGGCTGCTCTCCAGGTGGGTGGTCACGGAGAGAGGTTGCATCAGTGCCGTGAGGTGACACTTTTAACATACAAGTCCATTCCCATGCAAGTGGATGGTGAACCATGTCGATTGGCTCCCTCACTCATTCGGATCTCCTTAAGGAACCAAGCCAACATGGTGCAGAAGAGCAAGAGGAGAACATCTATGCCTTTGTTAAATGAGTGAGTTGGATATGTGCATGTCCAAATGGCAGGAGGCCTGTTTGAGGCAGCGTATTCAGTCATGGATTTTGCATGTACTGGACTTGTGGCGCATTTAGAAAAAAAAAAAAATGTAAAAAATTACAAAATCACACCTTTGTATTCCCTTTCCACCCTATTGCAAAGACGTCCCTGATTTTCTTTTATTCTTTTGTCTTCTGGGTTACCCTTTGTCTTGCTTTTAGAAGGGTGCTGTATCTTTGTTATCTATTTAGAGAGGTTTGTGCAGGCTCAGCAGTGTGCCTCTTGGCTTCTGACAGTTCTGCATATGTATGCCATTTGCCCTTGAAGTTATTTTGATTTATTTTCTCAATATTTTCTTTATTGATCTGCTTTTTAAGCTCCATTGGAGACCTTGTAACAAAATGCCATAATCAAGAATTACTCAGGACATGTGGTGTGTTGTGGGAGCATGCTGCCTGGCACTGTTTATGGAGAAGGAGCTGAAGGCCCAAAAAGGGCTGTTTTGTATTTTGTAGGGAGCCCTTCTCCAATATAAAAACCCAAATCAGAAATGAGTATTGTAAAGATGCATAGGGGAAAGCTAAGGTAACTGGAACCCAGGAACATGTGAAGAAGAAAAAAAATAGGACTAACATTCCTTTGTTAGTCCTAATAATTCCATGATTAAACGTTATTGGTAAGCTTTGCAGAGATATTTTAATAGGAAGAAAATAAGCATTCAAATTTTGACTTAGGAAAATGGCCATCCAGCAAAATAATTTAGATTATTTTGTAGAGCTGATTATTGTACTTCTTATATAGGTCTTTATTTCTGCTAAAACAAGTGACATAGTAAATGCCTTTGCAGCTTTTCATCAAGCATTCTTAGTGAAGCAAACCAGCCTGCCCTTTATTCAAAGATAATAAAGGCCTAAAGTTATCAAGGATCCACATTTAATTGAAACATCCATGCACTGAGGTTTTAATTTTTTCTGAGGAGGTGGGTGGGGGATTTTGCTGTTGCAGCTGTAATGATGCGACAAGGTTCATGAAGAGATGCAATATCTTTCATTAGATTAACTTCTATAACTGGAAAAATACATGTCAGGCACACCCTTTCCCTTCAAGTATCTTAAGTGTTGTCTGTGTCTTTCAATTGTATCATCTAGTGCAAGATACTGCTGCACTTCCAACTTTAGCTCCAGCCCTCTAGAGCTTCTTGTCATCTGCTGTCTGTCAATCTGTTCATGTAATCAAAGCCTCCCTGGTTACTTTCATCATCTTCCTTTTCAATTTAGCACCCTGTGTTCTCTTACTGAGACTACGTTTTAAGTTTCAGTAGAACCCATATCCGTAATGTGCAATTCCACTTGGCCTGGAAAATACATAAGGTATACTCATCTCTTGAGTAGTGAAGAATAGCAGATTCTTGTCTGTGGGCAGTGATGCCCAATTTCATCCAGCTACAACTCCTCAATTGTTTGTGAAAGCTAGAATCAAGCAGAGAGCAATCCTGGGCCATCTCTTTCTATGTTGAGGGAGGCTAATGTGAACCTTAAAAAAAAAAAAAAAAAAGAAAAAAAAATTCCTGGTATTTTGTTCTGGTATTTAGCGGGATTAGGTTTGGATTTTGAGATATGAATTTGAACTGTGGTAGGGAAATACAGATTCATAGTGTATGCCTGTTGTCAAGAGGATATTCTTTGTTGTTTAGCTTGTCTTACGTGTGCTATGGTAGACTACATGGAGTCCTTTGGATTCTACACAGAGTCCTTTGATTTGGCTGAGGTATTTGTCTGCACACCTGTGTTTTGGGAAAATGAAAATTATCTGCCAGGAACTTTAGTCTCAGCTTCATGTATCAGAAATGCTGTGTGTATATCTACCTCTATATCTATCTCTCTCTGTTGAAGTACTTTGCTCTCAAGTGTTGAAGGACAATGAGAGTAAGGAGTTGAATCTCCTGGAGTGATAAAAAGTAAATGGCATATTAAAGGTTAAACTCTAGGAAGCATTTTAGTATTGTAAGAAGTTTATTCAATATGATGCTGATTTGCAGTATTTCACAAAAGAGAAGGTTTTCAATTAAATGTTTATCTATATCTCTTAACTTGCTATCTGGAATATATCTCCTTATTCTATTGAAATCTCCCAGAAAGCCTTATATTTGAACACGATAAATTGTTCTCTTATGACTGTTATCTGAATGTTAGATGTGTGAGATAGATAAGTGGGTCTGGAGCTATCCCTAATTATTAGACAGCTGTTCTTGAGTTCCTTGCTAGGAAAGTGATTGAAAATTATCTTGTGTCACAATAATGTAGAGTTGCTATTATTGTCGGCTTTGATGATGCTAGATAAGGAGAGTAGGAATGCTCTTTAGAGTTTTAGCTAGTCCAGTGTCATAAGTAGAAAAAGACTTAATTTGAAGAAGTCTTACACTGTGTTCCTGTTTTCTTACCCATTTCACATTTTTTCTGGAGGTTTTAAGGAGGAGGGGTTTAGAGAGGCTAGCGAGGTGGTTTTTTGCCTTGTGGATGCACTTGGGTTTTCATGGAGTAGTATTTTGAAATTGAAGAGCCTATATGTAATGTAGCTGCGTGAGAAGAACAAAGATTGCGTGCTTCTCTCACTTGAGAGTGGGAGGGCTTTAGAAACATGGTTCTCTTCTGACTGTAAGAGTTGCCCATCTTCCTGGTGGCAACCATTCTCTTTCAAAACCTGTAGACACTGAGAGGACACCTGTATATGAGAAAAAGGGATCTGACCTTTTTTGACTGGTGTTTTCCCTCCATCTTCCCATAATTGTGCTTCCAACAGCTTCTGATTACACATAAAGTGCGTCGTGGTTTTACACAGACCTTCAAGGTGGTAACTGCTATATGTTGAGTGTCCTTGTTTTATCTGTTACTGAATAATTTGCCTTTTTTCAAGGTGTGGGGAAAATGCAGCAGCACTTTTGACAATGCAAATGTTCCTGGTCTTTTCTAGTCTTTAAATTAAAAAAAAAAAAACCCCAAAAAACCCCCCCAAAAAAAACTCCCAAAAAAACCCCAAAATGACAACAACAAAAGACCCAACAACCAAACCAAACAACAACAACAAAACCCACCAAAACCAAACCAAAACAAACAAAAATCCCCAAACCACAAAACAAAAAAACACGTTGGCCATGGAATCAGATTAAGGAACAAAAATCTAGTGTTTCTGTGCAGCTACATGGACTGAAGGAGCCTCCCTTCCTTATTCACAGCAGCGACGACAACAACAAAAGACCCAACAACCAAACCAAACAACAACAACAAAACCCACCAAAACCAAACCAAAACAAACAAAAATCCCCAAACCACAAAACAAAAAAACACGTTGGCCATGGAATCAGATTAAGGAACAAAAATCTAGTGTTTCTGTGCAGCTACATGGACTGAAGGAGCCTCCCTTCCTTATTCACAGCAGCAGCACAAAAAGTTTCATCTAAGCTATTAGAGAACAAATAAATATAATGTGCTGCTTTTTGCAATAGCTGGCTGAATTAATTGTCCCAAATTATTCACAGACTAGTTGCTGCAATTGTTCATCAAACATTCTACTTTCTTTTAATATTTCCTTTTGGAAAGTTAAGCTTTTTTGATGTGACATACAGATCACACAGAGATGAGTACTCTTGACTTGTTCATAGTTTGTACTCTTGATAACTTCAGAATTCTGAGTTGAAGCATAGTGCAGGAAAGTTATTTGGTAATTACCATTACAGTGCTTCTAATGTGTTTATAATGGAGGCTGTCCCAGTGTAAAAGGCAGGCATAATTTCTTCCTTACCCTACAATGCATTGCTCTACAATGGATATAAGCAACAAGTTTCAAGCCAGAAGCAACTTTTTAGGTGCAAGGAATATACAGGCTAAGGTGATGCTGTTCAGACTTGGTTATGGATAGAAACAAGACAAATAGTGGGGTTGTGGAGGGGAAAAGGTGTGTTTCATTTCTTCTTATGTCTTTTCTGTTGCTACCAGCAAAAGGAAATTTTTGCTATAGGCAGGTCAGCAGACTCCGTTTTTCTGCAAAAGAGTGAATGTTCTTATTCTCCTTCCCTTAAAAGACTACTGGCTAAGTTCTCATTCCTATTGTCCACTATTGGTCATGGTAGCATGTGAAAGAGCCAACACATAGCTTGGTTTCCTCTGGTCAAACCAAGAATGTTGTTCTTGTGAGCTATCACCAAAATGTATGTCCATTAAAAAGATGCTGTGGTTCAATCTTTCCAGGAATCATTTTTGGATTAGAAATTACTGTTTAGTATGCTGCTCAGTAAGGTTTAGTTAGTGACCAATTTCTGAAACTCACATGATGGTATTTTGCTTTCACTGGCTTTTAGCTTGTGTTGAGGAGGAATGTTCTGCATAATGGAAGAGAAAGAAGAGGGAGGAGTTTATAGATGAAACATAGTCCATACGCTTGCAAGAAACAAAGGGACCATTTGAGTATAAATACTAGAAGAGAGTCAGTCTTGAGTCACTATATATAAAACGCATGTTTCCCTAAGATCCATGAAGGAAGAATGGAGACAGCAATTTGTCACTGTGGATACAAAATCTCCAGTAAGGGGCTGTTTGGTTTTTTGTTTGTATGGGTTTGTTTTTTGTTTGGTGGTGGGTTTTTCTTTTTTCTTTTTTTTTTTTCTTCTTTAAATGTTAACTGAAGTTGGTTAACTTCTGGAGAAAATTCCATCCATTCAGATCTTGGCTTTAATGTTTGTTTGCATTTCTGGACATGCTTCCAGAGTCTGTTGCCTTGAAATTTTTCAGTGCTTGTGGAACAAATCCTCTGGGGTTTCTTGTCTTCCTCGTATAGCCATGTGCCTAGCTTGTCATTGGTCCTCCTCACTCATGTCTTTAGAAAGCTCCTGTGTGCCATGTAGCAGTGATTTTCCCCATCTGCATGTCTTCTGTTCTTCTTGGCTTGCTGGTGTGAGCTTGGAGCTCTGCATGTCTCTTCATTAAAATTTTGTGACACGTTCC